GGGTTGTCCGGGCTGGACGACTCGGGGCGTCTGCAGCCAAGCCCTCCCTGCCGCTCTGTGCGTGACCCAGGGGCGCTCTGCCCTCAGCGACTCCCTCCTGGGCTCTGCAGCCACTTCCTGCGGGCGTTGGGGGAACCGGGATGCCTGACCTCGGAGGCCTTGAATGCCAGAGACCAGCTTAGGCCTTGAGTTCTGCCAGCTGGGGTGGCCACGCCCTTTCTCCCATTCCTTTCAATCCTATAGAGGCCCCGCAGGTGCCAGGGCACGGACTTGAGCCCGACTGGGGGACAGGCCATGGCAGGCCGCTGAGAGTGGTGTGGTCTGGGGTGGTGGTCTCAATGACATGGACCCTGAAACCCAGCGGCATGCCTTCCTATTCTGCCCTGGCCATGGCTGACCTTTCCAGAGCCTCTGTTTCCCTACCTGTAAAATGGGCTGATTAAAGCAGGCATCAGCTGTTATGTTACTAAGGAGGGCTCTGCCCTGTCAGCACCTGGGAGGCTTGCCGAACAGGTAAATGAGATCACACTTCAGATGGATGGGTCAGACAGCTGGCCTGAGCACCCTCCCCCGCCCCTGGGGTCAGGGAATCTGCTGTGCACAGGCCGGTGCCTTCCTCAAGGAAGGAGATAGATCTCCGACTCCCGCTTCACGTTTTTTTGTTCCCCTCTGCTGCTCCCCGGGACAGTGAGCTCCAAGGACAGGCAGGAAGTCCTGGGCACTGTCCTTGCACAGAGACCCCACCAGGCTCTCAGGGGAAGGGAGGGCTCACTGAGGGCACCCGAGGAAGTAATACCCCAGCTGAGCTGTAAGGGATACTGGGCAGAGGGAAGGGCAGTGAAGTGCCCACACACCTGGCAGGAGAGAGCAGCAGCCAAGGGTTGGAGCCACGGATCCCCAGGAAGGAGGCAGGCGTGGCTGGAGGAAGCGGTCTGAGCACCGACCTGGCTGGGGCCGAGGAGCCCTGTTTACCCACAGGTGGAGGGTGGGGGAGACGGGCTGTGTGCAGAGTGCTGGCTTTGTCACTGTCTTCCTGAATCCTCCCGCTGGCCGCCAGGGGCGGGGGTTATTTGCACAACTGGAAAACGGGGAAACCGAGGCACAGAGAATTCCGGCACTTGCTCAAGTGGCACAGGGGTACGACTGAGACTCAGAGGTGCCGAAGAGGAGGGTGAGCGAGGAGGGGGGTTGCCCTGAGGGCCAGTGGTGGTGGGCACAGTCAAGGGCTGGGAGGGAAACTGGGCCAGGTCTGAGGGGTTAACGTTGGGCCAGGTGTGCAGCCTCACTCACCGAGGCAGGGATGGGACCAGCAGGCAGCGTGATCAGGTGTGCGGGTTTTTTGTTTTTGTTTTTTTTTTAAATCCTCTTCCACGGATATTTTTCCATTGCTTTTTAGAGCGAGTGGAAGAGAGAAGGAAAGACAGAGAGAAATATGGATTTGAGAGAAACACATCGATGGGTTTGCCTCCTGCACTCACCCTGACCAGGGCCCAGGCTGGGGAGAAGCCTGCAACCGAGGTACGTGCCCTTAACCATACTCGAACCCGGGACCTTTCAGTTCGCAGGCTGATGCTCTATCCACTGAGCCAAACCGGCTAGGACAGGTGTGCATTTGAAAGCTCTTGTGTGAGCACAGAATGGACTGGACGGACGGTGACGGAAGCATGCCGGGAGCCGGTCCACCCTTGCTGCTTGACGCAGTCACTGCAGGGAAAACATCTACACAGCTCATGTTTCAAGGGACCTGGTGTATATGACATATGTTTGCTCCCCCTCTTAGCACTATGTGTTTTAACCAGGACCACCTCCCTGAGAAAGCTTGTTTCCCCAGGTTAGGGGTTAACAGGACTAAGGAAGAGAATAAATCAGTAAATCCCCCTAGTGTTACAGAAATACCATGTACTACTTATGAAGAATTTGAACTAAGGCTGTTGGCAATAAATTTGGGACTTGTTGGGCCCGTATCCCCAGGGGTCTGCCCACCAGGGAAAACACCAAAGCCTATACCCCTGGACACCCACTGACCCAGGGAAGTCCCAGGGAAGGCAAGCAGCGAGGCTGGGAGGACATAACCTTTACTGGGTAGGAGAATCTCCTTCAGTCACTTCCTTGTAGCCTATCAGTAGAGCAGCGACCTTGGAATAGCCATTGTAATGGAACACAGAGATTAACCTAGACAAGATTAAAATCAAGGAATTATAGAACGTGACCCAAAACATACCATGATGTGATTATAGAGGCATGCTTATGGGATCAAATAGTATAAATATAGATGTAATAGGACAATAAAGAGAGAACCTCGCCATGATGATCACCTGAACGCTGTCTCCGTGTCCTTCATTCTTCGCCAACTCCGTCCACACCTTTGGGAACCCCTGGACCTGCCGGGGTTGGACCCCAACAGAAGCAGGGACTACTAATAGTAGGGGTAATGCCAGCGTTTGTTGAGCATCAATGCGTACCTGCCCTACAGCCTCTCCTGTGCGTCACCACACTGAATCCTCATGGAGCCCCATCGGGACAGTACTGCCTGCCATCACATCCC